GTTGTAGGTAATTTTTCCGTTATTTGGATGTTAGAAACCCACTTCTGGGATTAGAGCCCGGTACATTCATGTTTGTGCCCGGCACATTCATATTTGTGCCAGGTATGTTCATGTTTGTGCCCGGTAAATTCATAGCTTTAGGTATGTGACTCGTGATGCTGCCCGGGACCTTCATGGTTTTGGGCGCATAATTCTATGATACTGCCCGGTAAACCCATAGTTCTAGGTTTAGGATTCATGATATTGCCCGTCGCATTCATAATTTAGGTCGGCGTACCCATGGCTGGCCGGGATGTTGGCCCCTTAGGAAGTATGTAGGACAACTCGTTATGGTACCTTAGCGTCGGGGAGGAGAAACCAGGATCTTGTTCGAGTCCTCAATATTTTAATGCACGCGGAGTGTTTATTGGCTTGTCGTGCCCTACTTCTCGTCAGTTATGGCAAGCATATGGATTTGCTCTCGAATTTCACCGGTTTCCTGTGCTTTGTAGGTAAATGGCTGACGAACCGGAGTCTTCGGGGCGTAATGAGGTCGAGGACCAGAGTGCCGAGGAAAATGTAACTCTAGTTGATACTGTTGATGATCCTTTGCTGGATTGGGTGGGCGCCGAGCCTCGAGGGATTGCCTCGACATATTGTCGGCGTAGTCGGAGCGCCTACACTATCGTCGAACACGGCGGTAGTCAACCAGGCTTTTAGAAGAACTTTGTTGTCACAAGGTCGTCTCTCGATGCGCGGATCTGTTCGGAGTTCTCTGAGTATGGTTTTCCCATGTATGAAATCGCGTTCAAGGACCTCGGCCTTAAGCTCCCTTTCAGCGATTTCCAGATCGGGGTATTCTTCCATCTGGACTTGGCCCCCTCGCAGCTTCACCCCAATTCGATCTCCTTTCTTCGGGCGTTCGAGCTGACGTGTCACTTCTTAAGGATCGGGCGACCATTCCTCTCTTCTTCAGAGTTTTTCACTTGCAACGCCAGTCTCGAGGAGGCAGGCATAGTTGGGTTTCCCTAAAACAATCGAAGAGGCTGTTCAGGATGTACATGGATTCGGTCCGGGGTTTCAAATACAAATGTTATATCGTGCGGCCGATCACCCAGACTGCTTTGGATTCTATATATGAATAGGAGACCGCAGTGGCCGACAAGAACGGGGAGCCTCTTATGGACGACGAGGGTCGCCTGGTGTTGTGGCGTGCATCCAAGTTCCTGTTTTATTGGTGCTCGCGCCATTACGAGCATGGTACCGGGCACTACTATACGCCCGCGGGAGGGATGAGTGTCGAGGATGAGGAAGCATACGGTACCCTTTGCAAGTATGTCGACAACTTCTTCCATGCCCGGTGGTTCACGAGGGAGGGGAAGGACATTCTTGACGAGGAAGGTTCCCGACCTTCGAGGCCCGTCCTATAGATACCAAGGAGCTTGTCGAGTGCCAGTCCTACGGGCAGGCCGTGGACCTACTAGGTTACTTTTTGTCTTATAGTTTTGTTCTAGTTTCTTTGTTTGCAACTTGTTCGTAACTAACCTGGGTTTTCTTCTTTGCAGGCAATATATTTGGACGAAAGGAGAGGCTTTTAAAGTTGACTCAGGACAAGAAAATAAATAGAAGGTTGGTGCGAGCTCCCCAGGAAACGAGGATGGGCCCGCCGACCAGTTCAGGCGACGCTTCTAGCGGGTCCCAGGGTTCCCCTGATGTCGAGTGTGATACGGTGGGAGAACTGACTATGGTTTTGCGTTTGTTTTCGCAAATGTTTCGGTTGAGCAAGAGTCGCCACCGACTTTTTATTTTATCCTAAGGAAAGGTTTAAAAAGCACAGCAAAAACCTTTGAGATGTTTTCTTGGGTTCGGGGAGTAGATTATAGAAAGGGAAGGTATTATCACCCTTTCTATCCATGGTTATCCATGGGCTCTTAGTTACTTGCTTAGATCAACTTGCCTTAATTTTCAATTGTTTGAAATGGTGCTTTGTGTGTGTGGGTTTGAAAATTGTTTTGAAAAGAGGCCAATGTGGTGGCAACCTTTGTAATGATCCATGTTGGGATGTATACAAAGGTGTATGTCTTTTGAAAAGATTTTCATTTGTTTTTGAAAGTTTGTTTTGAAAGTGTTGTGAGGTGTGGTTTTAGAAAATAGGCAAGTGTTTTGTTTTTGCAAGTTTGATTCAAGTAACTAAGAGGTTATCTACTCCTAAATTTCTCAAAGATTATTGCTATGTTTTAACCCTTTTAACAAGTTTGTTCCACCATTGTATTTGGTGGACAATCTCATGTTAGGATGTGAAAGGGACGGGCGCGGGTCATCGTTTAGACCATAATTGCAATGGTGCCAAGTATCTTTGGGCAATTTTCTTTAAGGGACTTGATCATTTGTTTAGGCAATATTTTGAAAGCGTCATCGAGGGACTATGATCGTTTGATTGTTTTGTTTTGCCCAAAGAGACCTAACATGCAATATGGCCCATTTATTGAAGGCAACAAGTGGAATACCCTAGGGGGTGCAA